GATATACAGCAGCCAAAGGATATTTCCAGTTGGGTATTATTATTTTGTATTTACCCACACCACATGAATGCAGTTAAAGCATGGCACGGTTTTCCCTTTACAAATTCCAGTCAATATCTTAGTTACAGTAGCTCTGTGACATCACAGCTGATGTTAATGGGACTTTGGTGTTTATATTGTATGTGGGATGTATGTGTGTTTATTTGCAGCATGCCGGGAGCCCAAAGTGTCAGAGCTGGTTAAACAGAGAGTTCTACCTCCTCAGGCAACCTCCAGGTATGTTTACCAATGCTTCACGCTATATCATGTACAAACAGTACTGTAGATAATTTACTATTAAGTGACTAGAAATCTAAATCAACAGGTCTAATGCCATCTTTCTGCACTCATACCCAATTTACTCAACATTTACATGCACAGCATTTATTCAACAAAAGGTATCTCCACATACACTTCCCCCCTCTTCTCTCCTCAGAAAGACACCTGTGCACAAGCTCTACTCTTCTGGGCTGAGCTCACTATTCCAGTCTAACGACCCCACTAAAGCCCCCTCCGTGCAATCCCAGTTGCCCGAGGGCTTCCACCACCTTTACTCGCTCATAGAGTACGAGTGTGTCTCAGCTTTCTACCACCACTCTGGAAGTTCTCGCCGCACGTGCTTGAAGACTGGGAAATGGAGCGGGCGTCATGTGTCCTGTTCACCAGGTGAGGGCAGCAGAGGACTGCTTGTTGTTGGACCACCACCCTCTCACAGAACAAACTCATGGACACACATTTTAAACAATGATAATTGCATAGAAAATGACTCGGGAGACATTGAGCTAGTGAACAAATATTATTAAAGTCTACTGTGTGCACACAGACTTTCCTGAAATATTATCACTGCCTCGAAATGCAGACATTGAACACCACATTGACAGCATCTTTTAGGAATTTCAGCTAGCTGTAGTCCTCAGACTTACTTCCCTAAGCTACTAAGATGATATGAGCTGAAATGAACCGCTGCACTATGAAATAGATGAAGCAAGAGTTAAACATGTACAACTTAAAGTACATACACAACAGTTTCAACTTTCAATACATTCTGAGTTTGTAAATGTAAATACACAAGCTGTGACAGCTCTGTAGAAGGGTAGATCCATTCACAGTTTACCTTCCCATCACTATAATAGTGATGTAAAAGAGAACTCTGCGCACTACCAATGGTTGCTGCGACACAGAGTGGCGGACTCAACATTTCAACACCAGACTTTAAAATAGTTTTTGTGATTTTGTTAATTGAAGAAAAACAACGAGCCAGGCACTTACATCGCTATTTGAAACAATCACTAAACTGGCTTCTCTTTGTGGACAGCATAAAAAGGTATCTGGTCTTTTTTTACTTTAAATTAATTGGTGTGTGCACACATCCACAACAAGGTCAACGAACCCTGAAGGTCCTTTTCTATGTGCTGGTGATCACAACATCGTGGAACGTAAAAGTTGTAAGAATCTGCCTGGAAGTCTAAAAAGTGTTAAGATGTTAAGTCTGTTTATGTATTACTTTACTATTATTCATGGTAATAAGATATTTCAATCTCCTGTAGAAGATTTTTTTAAATAATTGTAGGAATGGGGAGGGTTGGACAGATGCCTAATTGTGTTAAAACACTATATAGAGGTTGTCGAAGGCTTCTTTCATGAGTTAGAGGCTCTCACATTTCACAAGATAGTGTGGCTGTTGAGTATTTCGCTCCAATTATGCTACTGCTTTGCATGTTGGCACACAATCTTTCAGACATTACTTTATGTGCAAAAAAAAGGCTCTCAGAAGGGAAAGACCAATCAAAGACAGTCCCACAGTGTTGACACAGTCTCTTTTTTTTTTCTGTATTCTTCACCCTGTCCTCTCATCCTGTCACCTCCTATTTGGCAGTGTGTGGGAAGCATCCAACCTTTGACCCAGAGAGGCCGGCAGAGGCTCACTGGCCTTGGCTGGCAGCCATCTACCGCCGCTCCACCAACGGAGCTGAGACCAAGGTGACCAAGGCAGGCGGCCAGGCAGGGTCCCTGAAGGGGAACGGTGGAGCAGGACCTGGCAGCTACAGTCAGCCCTCTGACTGGCAGCTGGTGTGCAGTGGGGCTCTGGTCAATCAAAAGAGGGTGGTGGTCGCAGCGCACTGTGTGACAGAGCTGGGGAAAGTGTATCCTCTTGATGCTGCGAAAATCAAGGTGGTGGTAGGGAAGCAGTATCGTGACGACCACCGTGAAAGTAAAGGTCTTCAACACCTGAGGGTAAGCCTGTGGAGATATTTTTTATTTTAGTGATCCTTTTCAACAAACTTGCACCCTAAGTCTTTATTTCCCCTTTAGGTGGCCTCCATAGCTGTTCATCCAAACTACGACCCCAATATCCTCGACTCTGACATGGCTGTTGTCAAGTTACTGGACAAAGCAAGAATCGGAGAAAAGGTCCTGGCCCTGTGCCTCTCAGAAAGCCAGGGGGAAGAGGTGAGCTCTGAGCAGGGGCTTGTGACTGGCTGGTCTCCTCTGCCTGACCCAAGTTTAGGTCCTGATGAGAAGGCAAGGGTTGGGCTCGTTCACCTTGCCGATGTTGTTCCCTGTGAGCAGCAGTATGCTCGTTACGGCGTGCCAGTTGGCGTCACGGACAATATGCTCTGTGCCAGCCAGAAGCCTGACTATGAACCCTCTAACATATGTCCCTCTGACACGGGGGGAATCCTCGTCCTCCCCGCCCTCTCTGAGAACCAAGCCAGCAGCAGGCAGAATCCCTCTCTCAGCACAAAGGTGCCGGGGGGGGGCAAAGGGCTGTGGAGACTTCTGGGACTAGTGAGCTTTGGCTATGACCAAGGGGAGTGTAATCCTGACCTCTACACAGTTTACACACGTGTAGCCAACTTCAAAGACTGGATAGAGAGCAATATGAAATGAAAATCTTACTGTATGACGTCGTTCTCTCTATGCTTCAAAACAGCTTCATATCTTACAGTTCTTTCACACATCTTTCTTCTGTTTTTCAGTGCTTTTTAATCTTTTTTTTCTTGCACAAGGGCATTTTCTTTCTCAATGCAGAAGCACTGGAAACACTTGACAACACAGTGCTCTAACTGAAGGGGGTGCTAACACATTAAATGTGCTGGGAATCAGCCTTTCAGGTCCCTCAGCCTGAGGTTACAGACTTGAAAATGACCAGAAAACCATTATACGCCTCTGGCTGACATGGATTGTATTGTACTCAATGGGATGTATATATATATATATGTTGTAATGTACTGGATTATTCTATCGATTCATATGACGCAAGGGATGTATATATCGTATCAAAAGACAGAAAAATGACGACGATTTTAATTAAAACATGTGGGTGTGTTAAAGCTTGTCTGTGTCTTATATTTAATCATAGTGTAACTCCGTATGTTTGCTTGAAGGAATATATTCTGCTGACTGATTGGTATCATTATATTGCGAAAGACAAATCTTATATTTGCTCTATGAAGCACACAGTGGGTTTGTGCTGTGAGGCAAATGAATCGAGGTCACAGAAACACCATTTTCACAACCATAAACGGAGCACGTTATTCACAGATCAAATCCCTTTTCTGTGCTCAAATTAAATCAATTACTTCCATTCTGACCCTCCTCCATTATTCACTAGTGAGTCTACATAGAGACGAGCTGCAGCATATCTTGACTTCCAAAAGGGGGTAATAAAGAATACACAATTACTTTATCTCCAATAGATGAGTAGAGGAGCTGGACTCTGGTTGTAGGTTTACTGGTTTTTATTTCAATGCCTTCCAAATAGTTAAAATAATTGTAACTACATTTACTTTGCACAGGTAAATAAAGGTTTAAACATTTTAGTACTCCAAACTATACCAATGAGACTTGCACATTCAGGCAGTTTAAAGGTGCAAAGACGTTATGAAATAAAACTCAATCATATCAAACTAAATCAAATAAACAATTAAATCGTCAAAAACTGACACTGTTTTTCTCCAGTTTTTTAAAAGATGTTACCAAGTCTTTAAGCCTCCGACAGGAAGCTCCAAAGGTGAGGGAACTTGAATCTTTATTAAAACTCTGGCAGAGCATATGGAGCTGGGCGCTGGCTTACATTTTTTTTGTTGAGATAAAACAAGGAGCCTGTGTAGTAAAAGAAGTACAACTCTGTCTGTCAACTGGCGCCTGGCAGGTGCAACTTTTGTTTTTCGTAGATTTTTCATCAGCTTTTTGCTATGGCTGGAGATGAAGCTGATGAGAGTGAAGTTGTGTATTATTAAAAAAAAGACAAACATCTCACCAATGATCCCTTACATGACAAATGTGATTCATTGATTAGTGCATTCAAGACCCGATTTCCAAAATGAAGTTTGACAGTTATAGGCAGGGAGAAAAGACTGCTCTTGGAAGAGGAGTATTAATGTTTGGAGCTTTCCTTAGTGAAAGACTGATATACTCCTTAAGTGACAAGGTCACACGATATTTAACTTTATATCCTTCTACTTTATTTCTTCCATTTGGAAAGCTGGTTAACAACATGTAAATTAATAATGTAAAACATTTTATTTATTTACAGCAGGATCTGGACGAGCCTAAAACATGATACAGATTTCCAAAACCTAAATAGCCTGAAGTTGTCAGAGTAATTATGCCTCTACGTTTCCCAGATGGATTGTTCTCACCGTTTCTTCCTCTGGACTTCTTCCCTTTCCTGCTTATTAAAATGGCAGTTAGACTTCAACGTGCCAAAAAGAGAATGCATTACCCTTGTCCTGGAAGTATTTCAGTTTAAATAATTATTAAAACGTTTGTATTTACATTTTTAAAGTGCTTTTGTCTTTTAAATACTTTCAAAAGCAATCTGAAAGATCAGTTACAAACATGTTAAGCTTATTCTATATCTTCCATCATTGTTACAGGAATGCAAAACTGCTAAGCTTTTGCACTCAAAGGACCAACATCTTTCAAAGACTATCTGTCTTTCCTTCACCCATTTACTAAAGTGGAACAACAGCCTGGTATTGTCCCATGTTTCCCAGGGCAGAGTCCTCTCCACTCAGGCTGGGAGTCTGCGTGTTCACAGGCCCCGGTGAGCTCACAGGGCAACACTTCACAGAGTCCTGTCCTATCCTGGGAACGGAGATGTAACCCTCAGTAAAGTACCTGGATAATGATGAGAAAATTCTACAATGAGACCACCATATTGAACACCAGAGAGGCAGAGGGGCAAAATACTTAACACCAGACATACAAAATGTTTAGGTTTCGGTCCAGATTCCCAGTTAGGCTGCCTTATGGTTTGTGCTCAGTGTGAGAAAACCTCTTAGAGCTAGAACATTTTGGCACTAAGGATCCACACACAGCTCCGTTGTTAGTATTCTTCTCTGACATAACAACGTGGGACCACTAAGAGGATGTCCTGATCGTTTACATTTAAGGATAATTCTTGTCTCAACTCATTTTTGTCTTGCCCTTTCCTATTGGAGATGTAACTGTTTAATACATAATTTAAGTATTAAGTTAGGGTATAGTTTTAGCAAACTTTACTCAAACGAGAGTAAATTGGTTATTGAGATATATTTACAGCTTATTTAACATTTATGCATCATTAATGGGGTTCTATGGCACAGGGGGATTAAACAAACTATGTACAGGCTTTGGTTACACAGGCAGTACTTGTAGGAAGGATCACTTAATTGTTGGTTTTAACCTAGTGATCAGTGGGATCACTAGCTTCATACTGCAGCAATGTATGTCTGTATTTTATTATCCCATTTTCTATCATACCCATAGCAGCTCACCCAGTTGGTTCCCCCACAACTATTTTTATATTCCTTCGTCCCTCTTATACATACAGTACCTAAACGGAGCGGGGTATCATTCAGTCATTACCGGCCATATATACCTACATGAAATGGTAGATAGCCATCCATTCACTTCACAGCCTTGAATAAATATATAACACACAGATGTTTCCACACAAAAAGCAATTTTGTTGTGCTGATGTAAAGCACCGGCTGTGTTTTCATCCACACTGTATGCAGGCCTATGCACAGCCAGAGCAATATGATTTATTATGGCTGTGATTGTTTGACTCCACCAGAAAGCCTGCATGAATTCAAGCTGCTGCTTAACTGAGCAAGGGAGAATGAGGAAAAGTGAGTAAAGAGATAGCAAGATCGAGGAATAGTGGAGCAGATAATATGCAGTATTTTCAGGCAGGTGTGATTCCTTTGTTTGGTGGGACATTAACATTTCCTTGGTTCGCCTGTTCACCAAAACATGAGCAAATATCCAAGGCTTTGCACACAGCTCAATACTTGCATTAACCTCCCCCCCAAAGGAGCCTCCTAACCTCCCCGGGTTATTTCTAAAGACGTGCCAGCTTTATTACCTTCCAACATCCTCGTAACACTTCTTGGTTTTCTGATTGCTGCTGAGAGGACACCAGCACTGACCAAAGCCATTAAAGGTTAATGTACCCCCTCTACAGAGGCAGATGCAAATGGTGTAGCTGTATATCACAGATCCTTATTCAAATGCACAACATTAAAAACACCCAAATTTAGGATGAATCCAATCCAAAAGGTTTCATTACATACTATAGGATACCATGCAGAGAGAAGGACAGATTGCAGTGCACATGATGATGATTTTGCTGTCCTGTTTTTTTTTATAGCTAGTTTTTAGAAGGGTACGCCAATTGAAGAGCTTAGATTAAACATCAATAAATTGCAAAGAAAGGGAATAAATTAGTGATGTTAATTTACCAACTTGCCATGGGAAAAGGAGAGTTACTTGGTGCTCTGTAGCTACATTGGACAAAGACTTGCCAAGGGAAACAGGCCTGAGTCACAGCTTCTTGCAGCGACATGTGTTATATTTTTGGTGCGGAGGGTGAAGATTACCCAACTGGGTTACATGCTGGTTTGCATAAAGAGTAAGATCCTGACATTCCTGTGTTGACTTTCCTTCACAGGCCAGTACATGCATTGTTTTGAGGCCAACAGCATTTCAGAAAACGCCGCAGCATTTCACAAAACACCACAGCATTTCAGAAAACACCGCAGCATTTCACAAAACACCACAGCATTTCAGAAAACGCCGCAGCATTTCAGAAAACACTTCAGCATTTCACACTTCTTGTTTGTGATTGGACAGAGCCAGCCAGAGAAGCACTGCTGTGATTGGTTGTTTTTGCTGCCAGTCAAGAAATGACGCTTCGTGATCGGTCAGCACCCTACAGCGCAACATGTCCCAACCTTATACAGTCTATGGTCCCAACCTATGGTCCCAACACATCAGCCGTTAGCTGTTAGCACACACTCAGAGGTCACAAAACACAGACTGGCCGTTTCTCAATCTCGAGGAAACTGGCTTCAAAGCCAATATTTCAAGGATACTACGTCATCGAGTGCCGCCGAAGGACTGTTCCAATCTCCAGCATCTGGAGATAGATCGTCTGTGTCATGTCGAATACAGTCGCTGCTTTATTTATGTCTGTCGGGTGCTGACCAATCACAAAGCGTCACAAGAAGTGTTTTCCCTAAAGGAATACCCTTTCCGTCCAATGTGAAATGCTGTGGCGTTTTCTGAAATGCTGTGGTGTTTTCTGAAATGCTGTGGTGTCTTGCACTTCAGGGCCACCGTAAAGATGGTTGTCTTTTTTTCATAAGCAGGCCAGACCAAAGGGGGAGGTTGGCCTGTACTTGCATTTTAATGGACAAAAAGCCATACATCTATTTATTATCCTACAAAGCGAACTGCTTTTGAAATTTCTTAACCAATGTGATAATTCAGCACTTCCGTTTGTTTAAAGGTCCCATGAAATGGCCATTTCTACTGATCATAATTCCATTGTTGAGGTCTACTAGAATAAATGTACATTGTTCAATGTTCCAAAATCACATTGGTTTATCATACAGCATCTCTGTATAGTATGTGTATTCACTCTCTGTCCTAAACGGCTTGCGGGATGTTGCGGGGCTCGCTGCTCCGCCCTTTGAGGCTCGAGGAGTGGACAGTTTGAGCTGGATTACTGGTGTCGTTTCCTGGTGGCTGCGTGGGATCTGCGAGACAGCGAGACACCGCGGAGCTCAGTCTGAGCACACACACACACACACACACACACACACACACACACACACACACACACACACACACACACACACACACATGTGGTCCATTTTGTCGTCGTTACGTCACTATGACCCGGAAGAAACATTTTGAAAAAGAGAAATGTCCAACGAGGCATTCTGGGGCAGCATAGACAGTGTTAGAGTTTTACTCGCTACAGGGTGTACTTTGAGGGTTTGTGACTTTGCAGACCGTTTACATGCATAAGAAGCTACATAACACACAAGGGGACGGATAATAACCGGAAAAGCATGTCATGGGACCTTTAAGTCAGAATCCAATCTATCGATTGGTACTGGCCAAAGGATATACCAAGTGCTAAGTTGAGCTTTCGGGCTATGAGCTATACCCAGAACACGAGTGCTGAAAAAGAACCGTCTACTTTTAAGCTTTTACATATTGAGCTCTAATGTATACCTAAATTAACCTATGCCAGGTTGTACATTCCTCAGATCACATGCTACACCATCTCCTACAACCTTGCATGGAGCGCAAGGAATCACAGCAGAGTTCAAATGTATCTATTGCTTCATGACAGGTCTTAGAAGGAAAGATAGTTTTCAGTTATAAAAAACATGTCATGACCTGACAAGCCAGACCATGAGATCCTACAACAAATTGATCATACATAATAGTGATATAATGCCATGGACAAGCTTTATGTCTTGAATTGTACGTTTTGTAGATATTACATCTTTAATTATGTACTTTAATAAATCTAATTAGTGCTGCTCAGTGCTCGCACAGATATTGCCACACAGCAGCCAGGTGCTCCACTCACACGGCTTAGTCAGCGTTTATCTTTTTCATGAAGCAGTTTGGGGAATCTGCTTGTATTACTCCCTATGCTCTCATTTCTAGTCCAATAAGCTTTAAAGGCATGCAGAGCACTGACCCAAACATCATTGCAATAACACTGCACTTTACCTACTCTCATGGGCAGACGGATGAGCAATACGAGGATGAACTTGAGTGATACTTTACCGTTTGGGAAAGTTCTCTCCTCTCAAAAGAGCTCTTATAACAGATCAGTGTATGTCCTGCTTATAGATTACCATAGGTTAGGGTGCAATTACGTAATGTGGGCTCCTATGTCAAAGTCACACGCTCTGATGAACAATCCATCCACCCTTAAGGCCTCTTGTTATAATGTTGTGGTTTAAAAAACGACTGTCAAACTACATGTTGGTGTACTGTAGGTTTGAAATTAATTGTTTTTTGCAAAGTATTGTCTGGTTATGTCTGAATGCAAAAGTGTTGGTAGCTGTTCAGGCGTTTTCACTTCTGCTGATATGGTCTTTAGGAAATCGGTTTGTTTCAGAAAGTTCCAAAAACGTTTTCTCTGATTCCAATATCGAAGAAGTTTACGGGGAAGGGCTTCAAGCACTTCAGATGAAGAATACTTAGCCCTTTACTCCACATAAAAGACAGCCATTGTCGTTTTTTCAGCATCGCTTTATGTATGTTTTATTTATTTTTACCTGGATATGTAAAGTGTCTTTGAGTAGGCTACCTTAAAAAGCGCCCTTTTTTGTTACCCATTTTGGGGGTGCGAACTGATGGTGGAGGACAAAAAAGATCAGTCAGACCATTGGAGATATAAGTCACCCACATTGAGTCACTCTGGGTCATGAGGCAAATAAGACAAATATCAAGTTAGTATGACTCAACGATGGTCCCAACCTTATCTCCTCCATGGTTTTGACATCATGTATCTTGTGTTCTGTTTTTTCAGTTAACATGGATACATAACATTTAAAGAAATGTGAACTTCAGTTTAAGTTTTGTAACTAATCAATCAATCAATCAATGTTTATTTATATAGCCCAATATCACAAATGTTACATTTGTCTCAGTGGACTTCACAGTTTGTACAGAATATCAGTATGACAATACGACACCCTCTGTCCTTAGACCCTCACATCGTACAAGGAAAAACTTCCAGAGAAAACCCACAGTTTAAAGGGAAAAATGGGAGAAACCTCAGGGAGAGCAACAGAGGAGGGATCCCTCTCCCAGGACGGACAGACGTGCAATAGATGCCGTGTGTAAATTGAAAAGATACTACATTTGCAACATAGGTAGTCCAAATGTTTGGAAATGCATGTGTGTATAATAGGAAGATGAATCCACGAGTATATCCATCCAGGACTTATGATCCAGGACCACAGCCAGGACTCAAGATCCAGGACTCGCAATCCATGACACAGGACCGCAGGATCATCCATGACTCCGGATCCCAGCATATATAGACACCAAAAAGAAAGAAATTTGGGGAAGCTGGGTTAATCGGAACATGAGAGTACACAGGTATAGACAGAGAGAAGGAAGAAGTAAGATGTCCCCCGACAAACTAAGCCTATATCAGCAAAACTAGGGGCTGAATCTAATCAGCCCTAACTATAAGCTTTATCAAAAAGGAAGGTCTTAAGCGCACTCTTAAAAACGGATAGGGTGTCTGCCGCCCGAACACAAACTGGAAGCTGATTCCACAAAAGTGGAGCTTGATAAGAAAAGGCTCTGGCTCCCATTGTACTTTTAGAGACTCTAGGAACAACCAACAACCCTGCATTCTTGGAACGCAATGCCCTAGTAGGACAATAGGGTATAATGAGTTCTTTAAGGTAAGATGGCGCCTGCCCATTAAGGGCTTTGTAGGCGAGAAGAAGAATTTTAAATTCTATCCTGTGTTCTATAGGGAGCAGTGTAAGGACAGCCAGAACAGGAGTAATGTGGTCCCGTTTTCCTTAACTCTGGTTAGTACACGAGCTGCAGCATTTTGTAATCAGCTGAAGCGACTTGACTGACTTCTTGGTACACCCTGATAATAAGGAGTTACAATAATCCAGCCTTGAAGTAACAAATAGCATGGACTAGTTTCTCTGCATCGTTTTGAGGCAAGATATGCCTGATTTTTGTCAATGTTACGTAGATGGAAGTAGGCGGTCCTTGAAATTGATTTTATGTGGGTGTTAAAGGATAAATCCTGATCAAATATAACACCAAGATTCCTTACAGTCTCACTGGAGGCCAAATTAATGCCATCCATAGTTAGTATATCTTTAGATAATTTGTTTCGTAGATTCTTCGGGCCAAGTACAATAACTTCAGTTTTGGTCGTGTTTAACATCAAAACATTTAAGGTCATCCACGTTTTTAAGTCCTTGAGGCAGTCTTGAATTTTATTTAGATGATTAATTTCATCAGGCTTGATTGATAAATATAGTTGAGTATCATCCGCATAACAATGAAAGTTTACAGAATGATTCGATTAGTGTGAACAAAATAGGTCCAAGCACTGAGCCCTGTGGCACTCCATGGCTAACTTTGGTTTGCATGGAAGATTCATCGTTGACACGTACAAACTGAGAGCGTTCAGATAGATAGGACCTA